CAGAGAAGAATGGGAGAAACCCCAAATACAGGTGTGCCATGCTTGTAGTGTCATACCCAAGAAGACTTGAGGCTGTAATCGCTGCCAAAGGTGCTTCAAGAGAGTACTGAGTAAAGGGTCTGTATACTTATGTAAATGTGATATTTTCGTTTTTTATTTATAATATATTTGCAAAGATTTATAAAAACTTGTTTTTGCTTTTTCATTATGGGATATTGTGTGTAGATTGATGAGGAAGAAGAAAAAACTATTGAATCCATTTTAGAATAAGGCTGTAACGTAACAACATGTGGAAAACGTCAAGGGGTCTGAATACTTTCCAAATGCACTTTAATCTTCTGTTTGCTATTCAGGAAATGAAAACAGAACTGACTGACCCAGGCCTGCATCTAACAGTCTAGGCCTTTAGAATAACACCATGCAGGTTATTGTTTTACAGCAATAGTTACTTTGTGGTTTTCCTTCACTAGACATGTTGAAGGCAGGCAGGTAGCGTTGCCTGTACCTGGTGAGCTGTCCTCTAAGATGGCGCTGGCTCTGACACTCCACATTACTGGGAGCAGTGTGATGATGGAGGTAATGGCTGTAAAATGCACTATCTGGGACGGCACAGATCGTCACGAGTGAGATGTCAACATGCCTGGCTGTCACTCGCTTAGTATCATATAGGAAGAGACAGAGATGTATTGTCTATTTATTTAGGTCTGATTTTGCATGATCAAATATAGTTTCAGTGGTTTCTTTAGTTAAAGTAAACAGGAAGGAAGAGAAGTACCTGATGGAGGTACGCAGCTTCCCTTTGTGAAGACGAAACAACAATGCACCTGACATGTTTCATAAACGGAGGTGGCAGGTTACCTGTTCTACATTTAAATGATGTGATGTCTCAAGCTCAAGAAATGTGTGTCACTTTCTATTTTTTAACCGTGCTCAATCTGTAAACGCAACTTCCTGCACATGTTGCAGTGAGAGTAGGTTAAAGTTAATAGTCGATTACAGAGTTCATTAAAATATTGTAATGTACCGAGTCGACCCCTAAATCTGAGCCAGATCGTCAGTGCCCATTTGAATAAGACATACAGCTAATCCCCACGACCCTGTTTTGATGTTGACTGTAGATCACCATCATTATGCTTATTGACGTCACATGATCCACCACATCAGACAGTGTCTCCTCTGCCCGGCCTATTAAAGAAGACGGCCATTTCCAAACACACAAGGTGCGTCCCAAATGGCACCATATTCCCTATATAGTGCACTACTTTTGACCAGGGTCCGTAGTAGGGCTCTGGTCAAAAGTGGTGCACTATGTAGTGAATAGGGTACCGTTTAGGACTTAGGAGGGGCCCGCTGTATTAATAGTACACCTGTAGCTTTTCTTTTTTACAGGAACAAGATAACATGACTAAAGGATGCATCCTCTTCCACATACAACACTCATACAACACTCATACAACATCCACAAACCCAAACATCAACAGCATTAACATAAACTGCAGCTTGTCAAGTGTAAAAAGTAATGCGTGCTTGACAATTTCTTTCTCCTGGTTTCTTCCTTGCACCGACAGTAGAGCAAAGAACAGAACACACAGGAACAGGTTGTCTGAGACCGTCAGCACTAAAAACATGGACTGTCTGTGTGAACCAGGGGCGGTGTGTTCAATAGGGCGATATGGGCGACGCACTGCCAAACGGGAAAAGGAAGGGATTTTTTTTCTAATCAATTATATCACGGCAACAGTAGTTATCAGTGTTCTAATCTGATCTGACTGCCACTAAATGTCAAATCAGGCTAAAGTCGTGCTTCAAATGGCCCCGCCCGTTTTTGGGGCGATTTCAGTCATGTTGAAAATCGCCCAGAAGTCTGTCATAGACTCCCATGTAAAATCTATTTTTTTCAAATTTCAAAGCTTTCAATACAATCTCTATGGGTGTCTGTGGGCTTGCACTTACGCGCTTTCGTCATACGTGACGTAACCATGAACGTAACTAAGAAAATAGCGGCTAGCAGCGTCTCTGTTGCGACCTGCAGTGTGGCGTTATCTTATGTTTTTAATTTGTACACTTAGTGGCGTTATTTTATGTTTTTAATTTGTACACTTAGTTTACAAACATTCTGCCAACCATGGATTTCCAGTGGTGGGTTTTGGACTGATCTTGTTGATCGTGTACATACCCGCTACGAACGGACTAAATAATGAAAACGCTGCTGGCAGCGGAATCCAATACAGCTGGGAGACTTGGCTGGATGACAGAGTCCCGGACAGAGAAGTGGAGCCGGCCGGCTTCACCCTGGTCAGAGCGGACCGCGATCTGACACAGTCACAGGGAAAATCGATCCTGGTAAGAGAGCGACTCTGTACCCCCGACATTGAACTGCTTTCTGTGTCACTGCGACCTTACTATCTGCCCCGTGAGTTCCCCCAATTGTTTGTTACCGTTGTGTACTGTTGATAATCACAAGTTTACTGGAGAACTGAGACCAAGTAGAGACTTTGGACAGGGTGGATATGGTATAATAAAGGCAGTTTATTCAGAGGTAAAGATATCTGGAATCGCGTGCACGGACTCGTTCGTCAAACTCTTAGGGAGCTATCTGAAGAGAGCCCCGAAAACATTGTGTGCAGACATTTTATACAATAAATGATGTAGGTTGAATCTAGTAGTTCTGATCTTCTGATTGGTCCTGATGAGTTGGGCGAGGTCCCCTCCACTGTTGCATTGGCTCTGAGTCGGGTTCTCTGTCTTCAAATGTTCAGCCTAAAGAGAGGGGATTTTTGTGTGTGTGTGTGTGTGTGTTTAACAGTGATGATGTGTGTGTGTGTTATCAGTGATGATGTGTGTGTGTGTGTGTGTGTGTGTGTGTGTGTGTCCTCAGAGCAAGAACTCGTGAGTTGGAAGAACTGAGAGACCTATGGCGTGGGTGTTGTCCTTGGCCACCTGCTGACAAGGCTGACAAGATAGGACTCTTTTGTCCATTGTTATAGGATAGGAACAGCATTGATTGAAAACAAACGCCCAACACAAAATGGGTCATGCACAAGATTTTAGTCAGACCAAGCTATAACATTATATATTTACTACGACAGTACATTCAACCAAAAGCTAATATAACAAAGGCATCAGAGATTATTTATAATCTGTCACAGAAACTGGAATCCATCTCCCCAGATCAGTCAATAAATGCTTCTGGTATTGACTTATATGCTGCCCCTGTCTTCATGTTGTTGCTGGACATATCTTTTTTAAAATGTGTGTAGGTCACCTAAATCATCAGAAAAATTGCCCCTCCTGAGAATTTTTTCAGGAGCCGCCACTGGTGTGAACTGAATGCGAACACTGTCTGGAATGTTTCTGTTGCCTGCCTGCTTTTTTGTTAACAAGCCAAGGGAGAATCAGCGGAGAGACTTCACCCATAGCAGCGAAACCAGAGGAGCAAAACCCCCAAATGCCCCCAGGCAAAACCAACCTGCACAAAGAATGGACCAGCACTCTGCCTTTTCAGACTCAGTGAGGCAGTGTATTTTGTGATTAATGAGATATGACTACTTTTGTTGAGGGAACCTTTTATACTGTAGCCTTCCCATTCACTGACACTCTACGTCCCAAATGGCACCCTCTTCCCTTTATAGTGCCCTATGGGCCCTGGTCAAAAGAAGTGGAACGCACACACCGGGCATGGAGTGTTATCTCAGTCAGAGATTAGGGTTGTAGGGTTTAGCAGGTGAACATCGATGCCTGCCTCTATAGAGGGAAGTGTTCATGTAATATTGTGGCAGGTGCTAAAAATAGCACGCCCTTACTATGTCAGACTGAGTTGTTCTCCAGGGCTTGGAGTAAAGGATCAGGTTGGTAGGGTTTGTGAATTATTATGCAACGTTTAAGGGTCGGTTTCCTGGACACAGATTATGCTTAGTCTTGGATTAAAAACCATGTTCAATGGACAACCCCATTGAAAATGGGAAACCGGCCCTACAACATGTTGCTGGGTTTTATACTACACAGGAAGTATTCCTACTAGAAATATTTCATAATGCCATAATGAAAAATTAAAAATACTACAGTTGAAATATAATTAAGCAATAAGGTCCGAGGGGGTGTGGTATATGTCCAATATACCACGGCTAAGGGCTGTTCTTTGTACGACGCAACGCGGAGTGCCTGCATACAGCCCTTAGCCGTGGTATATTGGCAATATACCTCAAACCCCCAAGGTGCCTTATTGCTATTATTAACTGGTTACCAATGTAATTACAGCAGTACAAATAAATGTTTGTCATACAGGTGGTATACCACAGCTTTCATCCAATCAGCATTCAGGGCTCGAACCACCCAGTTTATAATATGTAATAATGTGCGCAAAATAAAACCTCTGGACTCATTCAGCTATATACTGTAACATTGGACCATGCAAGCTATGCAATTGACAATAACTTTCCTGCAAACATATAAAATATTATGCATTGTGCATTAGCCCATGCATTAAGCATTGATTGGGGGTTTAATTAAATATTATTATTTTTATCCCCTTAGAGGCAATTAATGGGATGAGTTAGTTATATAATCTTACTAGCTATTTACCCTAAATCACCCTAATGTATATAAACTGCACACATGAGCGCTATAAGAGGTCAAGGAAGTCACGTGAGTCGCGACCCATGCAGATGTGCGCAAGAAAAGTTTTGAGAGGGTGACAACTGGCGAGCGTGACGCGTGACTGTATTTTACAGTAGATCAAACACGCATACTAGCTGTCCGCAGAGCGGTCCAAAACGCCTCCTGAGAAGTCCAAGTAGTCTATGACAAGATATGATTTAGGAATACCTTTTAAAGTCTTACAGTGGAGTCTGGATCACTTGGTGGATACTGGATAGAAAACATTCCCTCGCGCAAAAGTCCACCTGTGTAATTTGGATTAATTGATTAATGTTTTTAGCGCAAAAAACAATACTCTCTGCTTTTTGGGTGGTTCGAGGGGGTGACCACCACCACCACCTCTTGACTGACCCGCTGTGGAGGAATGAGTGATGCCGGAGAGAGGATGTACCATCTGGAGTCTGGTGGTACTGTCGGTGTTGGAGATGGGGCTCGGTGCATCCAGCATCGCCCTCGGGGTGGTCGGCATCATCCGAGTCCGGTCGGTTCACAAGCTGCAGCTGGGGGATGCCTCCCCTATATGGAGCGGAGTGTGTGTAAGTCAAATCATTCACTTTTGCAGTATTATTAGCTCTATGGTTAATAGGAATGGGAGGGTATAACTTTTTATTTCCCCCCAGTTTCTCATCTGTGGACTATGTGGGATGGTGTGTGCAAAGAAGAGGTCAGGCTTGATTGTAAGTTGATTTTAATACAATATATTTAACATGGGTACACTCTTAGAAAAAAAGGTGCTATCTACAACCTAAATGGGTTCTTTGGCTGTCCCCATAGGATAACCATTTGAATAACCTTTTTTGGTTTCAGGGAGAACCTTTTAGGTTCCAGGTATAATCCTTTCCACAGAGGGTTCTACCTGGAACCCAAAAGGATTCTACCTGGAACCCAAAATGTTTCTCCTATGGGGACAGCCGAAGAACCATTTTGGAACCCTTTTTTCGAACATGCAGTGCATTGTTGGGGTTAGAGCTTGCAAGGGTTAGAGCTTGCAAGAAAGGCATTTCACTGTACTTGTGCATGTGACATCAAAACTCGAAACTTGAAACACCTAGGGCCGGCTCCAGGCATAAGCGACATAAGCGGTTGCTTAGGGCCCGAGGCCGCTGTTATGTCAGTCACTGACAGTCACTCAATTGGCCATGTCAGCTAACCATTTTTTGATTGCTAAATTAGTCTAGCCAGCCATCTAAACTTGTAGTAATCATGGCCGAGTACCGACCAGGCATGCAGGGCACGTGCTCAGAGGCCCTGACCTCCAGAGGGCCCCCCATTGATTTTGTTAGTCACTCTCATTCAGATATCATTAACATGGCATAAGTCTTGGCAAAATGTGTAGAATTGTAGGAAATTAGCTTTAAAACTGCAAAAATGTCTCTCCACCCCATGGCAAAATGTGTAGAATTGCAGGAAATTTGCTTTAAAACAACAACAATTTCTCTTCACCCCATGGCAAAATGTGTAGTAGTAGTAGTAATTTAGCAGACGCTCTTATCCAGAGCCACATACAATTAGCACATTCATCTTAAGATAGCTAGGTGGGACAACCACATATCTCAGTCATAGTAAGTACATTTATTTTGCTGTGATTCTATCTCTCTCTCCCTCCCTCTCCCTCTCCCTCCCTCTCTCTCTCTCCAGATGATCCTGTTTTCAGCCTGCTGTATCTGTGGGCTGATCAGTGGGATCCTAAACTTCCAGTTTGTGCGTGTGGTGGCAAAGCGTCCCGATGCCCTGTCGTCCCTCTACCTGGCCATCATGGTGCTGGCCTGCCTGGGCATCGGAGTGTCCATCCTGTTTACCTGGCTCACCTGTCGTCTGGCCAGCAGCGAACAGCAGAGGATGTACCTGGAGAGAGAGCTGTCCCTGCACCACTCCCATGAGATGAGTGAAAAGGTGAGCTCAGATAAAAAATTAATGGAAAACTCAATAATGTTATATAATTGGAAATAAAATAGTGACATTTCAGTCAGACAGAGTGAATGGCCTGTCATTTCTGTCACTATGTGTTTCTAAAGCAGTGGTTTCCCAACTCCGGTCCTCCAGTACCCCCAACGATACACATTATTATTGTATCCCGGACAAGCACACCTGATTCAACTTGTCAACTAATCATCAAGCCCTCAATAAGTTGAATCAGGTATGTTTGTCCAGGGCTACAACAAAAATGTGTACTGTTGGAGCTACTCGAGGATCGGAGTTGAGAACCACTGTTCTAAAGAGAGATATGAATGCACCACAGGAGGTTGGTGCAACCTTACTTGGGGAGGACGGGCTCATGGTAATGACTGGAGCAGAATTAGTGGAATGGTATCAAGTACATGGTTTCCAGGTGTTTGATGCCATTCCATTTGCTCCGTTCCAGCCATTATTATGAGCCGTCCTCCCCTCAGCAGCCTCCACTGGAATGCACCTATTTTTAGTCGCTCTTCATAAGTGTCTGCTAACTAAAATGACAAAAAAGTCATAATTGTGAACCTCATATAACCCCACTGTACTGTTCTTTATTCCAGGAGTTTGCTGAGAGATCTGAAAGAGCAGCCAGCATCCCCCAGATCTCCTTCAATGGAAAGTCCTCACCTCCATTATCATTAGGCTAAAGCCCAGCTGTGTTACTGTATTCAAAGCAACTTGGAGACAATGTTGGTTCCATACAACCCCAACGGTTGCAGGGGACGTGATCTCTTGCACTTAACTGATACACAAAGGAATCAACTTAATCAACGGAAGTTACGGCAACGCTATGAGAAGGCACTGTGAGATTTGACAATCGTCTCACCAATGACGATGGAGGCTGAATGATGCACCTGGATAGTCCCACATGGAAAAACAGCAGGTAAAGGGGACAAAGCTATGGCACCTCCAAAGGCTCAAAAAGAACAACTAAAACAATTGAGATTGTCAGTGTTGAGACATTGAGAGACATTACTGCTTCAGGGTTTGACTGGTCATAGAGATGATGTCACACGGTGGATGTTGTTTCCAGTACTATTATTTATTTTAATTATTATTTATGTATGTATTATTTAAATATATTATTGTTTATTCATAAGCATGCAAATATAATAACGTCCCATCTGTGACATGGTTTTACAATTTAGAGAATTATAATGAATTAAAGGTTTAATGATGGTGATATATAATATAATAAGCCATTTAGCAGACGCTTTTATCCAAAGCAACTTACAGTCATGCGTGCATACATTATTTTAATTTTTTTTGTGTATGGGTGGTCCCGGGGATCAAACCCACTACCTTGGCGTTACAAGTGCCGTACTCAACCAGCTGAGCTACAGAGGACCATGATGATGATGAATGATGGATGACAACAATGATGATGGATGACGACTTCGATGGATGATGATGAATGATGATGATGATGGTGATGATTTTGATGACTTTATTGTATCCAGTAGGAAATTAATTCTAAATGCATTAGTATATTTTGCAGCAGACCACCAACCAGTAGCAGGCAGTAGTGATAGTTATATTTTCCCCACTAGAGGGAGCACTCCATCTCCTTTTAACTTAGGTCTGTCCCAAATGGCACCCTATTCCCTATATAGTGCACTACTTTTGACCAGAGTCCTATGGACAAAGGTAGTGCACTATATAGGGAATAGGGACTCAGACGATGATTCTTGTAGTAGAACGTTTGAAACAGCATAATAAATCTGGAACGTTATGGATACATGAGTGTTGCAGTTTGTGTATCCCTTAACCTGAAAATATCCAGTCCTATTTATGGGAATGCTGTCCAGAGAAGTTAAGCCAGTGGACGGACGAGGAAAGACATTCCATTAATTTACATTCATGTATTTTCTAACCGACTCCCTCATCCCTTGCAAAGTAAGAATTCAGATTATGGGTACGTCCCAAATGGCACCCTATTCCATACACAGTGCACTACTTTTGACCAGAGCCCATAGGGAGGATGCCATTTGGGACACAGGAAGACTGTATCCCGGGGAGTTGTGAGAACCACCAGAACTTCCTGTAAAGTGAAACCTCGTCCTTCCAAGGCCACCCCTGCTCTCATGCGGACATTGGACAGGGTGAAACCTTCCAAACAAAGCTCCCCTGAAGGTCCTCACCCAGCTCTGTCTGTCCTATAAATCTGTTGCCACGGTGAACCAGGTGGAGGTGTGGGAGACAAACTGACTGACTGCTATATTTTTCTCCTTTCCCTTTTTTTTGGAAAAACTTCCAAATACTGTTTCACCTGGCTCTAGTCCCGGACGACTGGCTGACTGGCTGGCTGACTGGCTGACTGACTGGCTGACTGACTGGCTGACTGGCTGGCTGACTGACTGGCTGGCTGACTGGCTGACTGAATTACTGACTGGCTGACTGGCTGGCTGCTGACTGGCTGACTGACTGGCTGACTGGCTGGCTGGCTGACTGGCTGACTGGCTGGCTGACTAACTGGCTGGCTGACTGACTGACTGGCAGACTGGCTGACTGGCAGACTGGCAGACTGGCTGACTGGCTGGCTGGCTGGCTAACTGACTGACTGACTGGCTGACTGACTGACTGAGACTGACTGACTGGCTGACTGGCTGACTGGCTGACTGACTAACATACTGGCTGACTGGCTGGCTGACTGGCTGGCTGGCTGGCTGACTGGCAGACTGACTGGCTGACTGGCTGACTGACTAACTGACTGACTGGCAGACTGACTGGCTGACTGACTGACTGGCTGGCTGGCTGGATGGCTGACTGGCTGACTGGCTGGCTGACTAACTGGCTGGCTGACTGGCTGACTGACTGGCTGGCTGGCTGGATGGCTGACTGGCTGACTGGCTGGCTGACTAACTGGCTGGCTGACTGACTGACTGACTGACTGACTAACTGACTGGCTGGCTGGCTGGCTGCCAATAATAACTTATTCTATTATTCCATTGTATTTTTCTTTCCTTCAGGAGAGACTTTAGGGTTATTTCCTTCAGGAGAGACTTTAGGGTTATTTCCTTCAGGAGATACTTTAGGGTTCTTTCCTTCAGGAGATACTTTATGGTTCTTTCCTTCAGGAGATACTTTAGGGTTCTTTCCTTCAGGAGAGACGTTAGGGTTCTTTCCTTCAGCAGAGACTTTAGGGTTCTTTCCTTCAGGAGAGACGTTAGGGTTCTTTCCTTCAGGAGATACTTTAGGGTTCTTTGGGGTTATTTCCTTCAGGAGAGTCTTTAGGGTTCTTTCCTTCAGGAGATACTTTAGGGTTATTTCCTTCAGGAGAGACTTTAGGGTTCTTTAGGGTTCTTTCCTTCAGGAGATACTTTACGGTTCTTTCCTTCAGGAGAGACTTTAGGGTTCTTTCCTTCAGGAGAGACTTTAGGGTTCTTTCCTTCAGGAAATACTTTAGGGTTCTTTCCTTCAGGAGAGACGTTAGGGTTCTTTCCTTCAGGAGAGACGTTAGGGTTCTTTCCTTCAGGAGAGACTTTAGGGTTCTTTCCTTCAGGAGAGACTTTAGGGTTCTTTCCTTCAGGAGAGACTTTAGGGTTCTTTCCTTTAGGAGAGACTTTAGGGGAAGAACTCAGAGACAGACATATGCCATCTTTTATGTTTTCAGGGAATGTTGAGTGAGTACTACAGTGATGGATCAGTGGATGTGTCCAAATGGCACCCTATTCCCTTTATAGTGCACTACTTTTGACCAGGGCCCATAGGGCATATATAGGGAATAGGGTGCCATTTGAGATGCACACGATGTTGCCCCGGTGGAGAGGTCCATACTGTACTGTACTTTAGTTACCTGTGTTGATACTGTACTGCAGCTGAATCACCACAGTTGTCTGCTATCTGGTTAAAAAGTGAGAATGACAGAAAAAGACTCAGTCAGTGATAGGCAGCTCCAGATATGTAGCTACACCAAACCATTTCCTTCAGCAGCACAGATACAGAGTGTCTGTCTCAATGGCTCCCTGTTCCCTCTATCAGAACCTTATGGGCCCTGGTCAAAAGTCTAATCAAATCAAATGTTATTACTATCAGTGAAATCAACTGACGGGCCCTTCCCAACCATGCAGAGAGAAAGACAATAGTAGTGCACTATACAGGGAATAGGGTGCTTTTTGGGATGTAGAAAAGGTGATGTTCCCCCACCGCTGCTAATTAATCTCTGCCTGCCTGCCTGCCTGCCTGCCTGCCTGCCTGCCTGCCTGCCTGCCTGCCTGCCTGCCTGCCTGCCTGCCTGCCTCTGTCTCTGTCTGTCTGCCTCTGTCTGTCTGCCTCTGTGTGTGTGTCTGTCTGTCTGTCTGTCTGTCTGTCTGTCTGTCTGTCTGTCTGTCTGTCTGTCTGTCTGTCTGTCTGTCTGTCTGTCTGTCTGTCTGTGTGTCTCTCTGTCTGTCTGCCTGTCTGTCTGTGTGTCTGTTTGTCTGTCTGCCTCTGTCTGTGTGTGTGTCTGTGTGTCTGTCTGTCTGTCTGTCTGCCTGCCTGTCTCAGAAGGGAGTGTCTGAAGATATATGACTGAAGGTTAATCCTGGAGCCACAGAAAGAATCAGCCCCTATTTGGGAGGTGATTTGTACACAGAGCAGACTGAGGCTGTGTCCCAAATGGCACCCTATTCCCTACATAGTGCATGGTGCCCTATGGGCCCTGGTCAAAGGTAGTGCACTATAAAGGGAATAGGATGCCATTTGGGACGCATCCTGAGTGTGTGTGCGGGTGCACTAAATATCACTGTAGATTGTTTTAGGTGAACAACAGACATCCCACAGGTTCAGCCAGAAGCGTTCTGTGATCACACGGTCTCAATTTACACCCAGTGCTTGATTTGGACTGAAATACGGGCAGGTACTCATTTTGGGTGCTGGTACCGTTTATATTTAGGTGCGGGAACTCCTCAATACTTTTGAGGTAAGATTCTATACGATGTGCAGGAACTCAAGCAAAGCAGAAGAACATTTGAGGTGCCTGTACTCAGTTCCGGTGAGCTCCTGCCCAAGTCAAATACTGTTTACACCTGATATTGAATTCTATCATCACTTATGTACTGTACTGGATGTATATGTGGCATCATGTTGATTATATAACTCCATTATGAAGTGGTCATGTTCTTTATCCTTTGGTTAATATTGTACCATTTACTGTAGTAGTCGTTCAGTTGTGTGAGAGCAAACAGGAGATTTTAGACTGGGAATTAGACTGCAGTACACTGTCAATCCAAGGGGTGGAACTATCGTATTGTGGGTAAAACTATTTCCGTCCAACAACACAAGCTGCCCTTAATATACACAGATGAACTGGACTGTTCCATTGTATACCACAGGGATTGATGGGGTTTGACTGAGAAAGAGTCTAACCGTTCATGACTTGTAGTCCTTGATAAGGGCAGGGATTGATGGGGTTTGACTGAGAACGAGTCTAACCCTTCATGACTTGTAGTCCTTGATAAGGGCAGGGATTGATGGGGTTTGACTGGGAAAGAATCTAACTCTTCATGACTTGTAGTCCTTGATAAGGGCAGGGATTGATGAGGTTTGACTGAGAAAGAGTCTAACCCTTCATGACTTGTAGTCCTTGATAAGGGAAGAGATTATTCATAAAGTAAAGTGCATGTATGTTGTGGTGTCAAAAGACAAGGAATTGATCGGGACATGCATAGTGTGTTCATGTCTATTCAGTCTGAACGAGCTCTTTATGTCTGTGTTGATACAAAGAGGTGAAAGCCATGAGAACAGTATCCCGTATCTAACACCATGTTAATCTGTACCGCCCTTCCCTATTATTTCCTCTGTTGTCCTTTCTCTTCTAGTAATCCACTGCCTCTCCATTTGCTCTCTGTAAGAAGTTTGAATCTGCAAACTCATAGAGATTAATGGTTCTTTATAATCTTTTGGAATTTGTGTCTAGACAAAACTACATTTCCACTACAGTTCACTTCAGCCAGCCTGGAAAG